CAGTTAAGTTATGTTGCAATATTTACTACTCACAGCCTATTAGATACAATATGATTTCTCCAACTTGAATAAAGCTGGTAAACTCACGTTTCTACATCACATTTTAAACTTAAACTACACTCAATTCTGTGGGAAATTCAACAACATTCTTCTATGGACATAAAAGTTTTGGTGAATATTTTGACCTTTCAAAAATTTTCACGTGTACGCTTTAGTTCTTTTGGAAATTGTTTAGAGTAATAGTGAAAAGCTTTAGTGTATTGATCACCATTGGTTTTAACTTCTCTTTAATTAAGCTCTTGCAATACTCCTCCCAGTGGCACAGCGGTATGTCTACGATCGTACCACTCTAGAAACCGGGTTTCGATACCTGTGGTGGTCAGAGCACAGATAGCCCATTGTATAGCTTTATTTCTAACTTCAAACACAAACAAACAATATATATATTTAATTTCCCCTAATGGGTGCCGAAGTACGCCTAGAGGGGTCACCTGTTTTAACCACTCGCACCACAGTAGCGTGTTGTCTGTCAACCAGTTAGTAGACACTAAAATGACGTCACAGAAGGGACGCTCAACGTTGCACTTTGTACCGTCTTAACGTCAGTAAAACATGCGCATGCCATGAATCACGAGAAGAATTATGCACTCTGCAGGCTACAAGACAGCATGACATAGGAAAGTTAAAAGCAAGAAATAAAAATATGATTTATTATTCTTCATTTTGGTTTTATTTGCTCTTGAAACAGAACACTTTCGGGAACTCTGCGGAAGTACACCTAGTACCAGCTATGTAGCAGTTCCGCATGTAGTCATTTATTGTAATATTCTAGTCATTTATTGTACGATTCAGGTATTAAGTTAATTTATTATTTTCATATACATTAGTTCTTGCCTATACTCTTGGTAATGACCTGCTACTTGACTCCAAGCCTAAACAGTAATACGTGTCGAAGCGGGTTATCTCGGATACCACACTCTTCTAAATTTACATTGTCGGAGCTTTTTAATGGGTTTTTATTGGTCACAAAATGATTGTATGGAGTATTGTTTATATGCGGTTATATTTATGCTACGTTGTTCAAAGGACACTAAGTCTGCGATAGTATTTGAAACCAAAAGCTACTATTTGTCTTTATGTAAGGCATATTATATTATTTCTTTATTGTTTCTTTGATTAACATTAATGTTGAGTGTGTTTAATGTGTATAATGTTATTACTTTTATATTTTTTTATTATCGTATTCTTATTATGGAGATTTTTTCACATATTAGCTCAGAACTTAGGATCAACCCAAAATCTCCTGTGTTGCCAAACCTCGTAAGTTATAATTGAGTTTACAACCGAAAATGTGATTAATAGTGGGGGGAACCCAACTGTTGGAACAATACATTCTACTCTTTATAAATAGGAAAAGTATATTATATTAACTATATTCATTACAAGGTTGAGTTTTAGTTTCTCTCTGATCGGAAGTTAATATTAGTCCTAGTTATAATGTGATAAAAAAAAAAAAAACATTCTCGTTAGTTGCCCATGGAGACAACAAAGGGATATGTCATAATCGTGCTGTTGATATGCATTTGGTATAATTAAATAGCAAATAAATGCTATTAATATGCATAGAATTTTTAATGTAATAACATACCAATTATATTAATATACATGTCATTATTATTATTATCAAATAACACAGTAATACTATTAACATACATAGAATTAATATAACAAAATAAACCTAATGTTGTCATTGTGAATGGGCTCGTATAACGAAATAACACTAATTCTGTTAATAAACATGAATTTAGTATCATAAAATTTGATACCAGTAATATTAATATATATATATATAGGTATATATGTATATGAAATAAGCGTATAATAAAATTACATATAACAAATATTACGTTAATTTTTCAGTGAATGAAATCGAATCTTTGACTGTTTCAAAATTACTACAATCTAAATGTGTTAACCGACACTAACAACAAGTATGTAACCTAACCTTATTCATTAGTTTTGTAATTAAGTATTGTAAACATTAAGATACAAAAGTCGTCCTCGATTTATGATTCGGTTAGTATCGTTTTAAGATATTAAATTGCTAACGGCTCGAAGCCTCTCGGGTGAATGGAAAGAAGTATTAGGTGTGAGCTCCAACCCTGACACTTGTGTCCTCGGTGAAAAACAAAAAAAGAAACCTATTAAGTTACCTTCTTCCTGGTTCAATCGGAATACAAACACACAAAAACTATGAATATGTTAGTGGTAGTGGCGCCAAGGGTTGCCTGCCGTCAGCGTGGCCTCACCTATCCAGTCTGACACTCTGTTTGACAACTACTTTAACACCTACAATGTTTCCGTATTCCCTACCACCTAACCCATTTGTTTGTTTTTTTGCCTTGCTTCGCTACCTCAGAGGTTCCTATTGGTTCTTTGTTTGTTGTTAAGAGCAAAGTTACACAATAGGCTACCGGTGCTTTGGCTATTGCGGGTATCGAAATTCGATCTTTTAGCGTTGTAAGCCCTCAGACTTATCTCTGAGCCATTGGTAGGAGGGTGCATATTTACAAAATTTCCAGAATGTTGTACCAAATATTTTCCATTAAAACTCACAACACTTTACACGGACAAATATATTAAACCACATTAATTAAAAAAGATCAAAATATTCACAAACAGAACTGTATGTCGGTTGGAATAATTGACTTACTCTTCCACTGGTAAAGACTAGAATTTATATTATGAACAGGATATCATTTTCGCTTAATTTCATATTTTATGTCTAACGTCTAAGCTAGCGAAGCCTGATCTGATGATTGGTAGTTGGCGTGATAAAAGTTCAGAATATTTAGCATTTTCAACCCTAACATACCTTATAAGACGTAAAATGAAATGTTAGACACTCTTCTCTTACTTATACCTGCTCACCAGAGGGAGGAGGTCAATCAGTAAGTAGGACTCGTCTTAAATGAACAACGGGATTTCGACCATAGCTTATCTACAACTCGAACCACAAATGTTTCGGTCCGTTTAAATAATAGCTTGTTGGTGTTCTGAATGAAGAATTGCGTTTACTCTGTCTGAAATTATATTATGTGATTTTATATATTTCAAAGAACAGCTGCTTGTTCTTCAATTGTAGTCATCTTGTAGCATAGCTTGTAACTGTTAATTTTACTAGAAAATGTTTACTATTAAACAGGTTGGATTTCACGGACGACTTGTGTAGTAATGATGTGGGAGCCTGACAACATATTTTAAGATGTTTTATTAACTGATCAGATATATCGAGTGTAGAATCGTAGAGTGAATTAATGTTTTAATAATTGATCTGATATATTGAGTGTAGAATCGTAGAGTGAATTAATGTTTTAATAATTGATCTGATATATTGAGTGTAGAATCGTAGAGTGAATTAATGTTTTAATAATTGATCTGATATATTGAGTGTAGAATCGTAGAGTGAATTAATGTTTTAATAATTGATCTGATATATTGAGTGT